AAAATTACATATAAGTGTATTAAATATATGCCAAGAAATGTAGGTCTGCGATGGTCATATACGTATGGAAGATTTTGGTGGGTCTGAAATCAGCAATGAGTTCAAGAGTTTTGGATGTATTCAGCAAGACGTTGTTTTTGTGGAATCCAGCACCTCCTTGAGGTTACCTGCTTCCTGTAACTGTGCTCGTTGTTTTTGGATAACAGGCCTACTATGCTTGTGTCATGTAGTGCCGGGAGCAGTGGTGCGTGTGCATCTTGGACCTGGAGCCCCAATGTGTCACTTTCTCCCTCCCGGTGTTTGCCTCTAGGCAGTTGGGCCGAAGTGTGCTGTAAACTGCTAGTATTTCCTCTGGTACTGTTAGAAGGAGAGACTTACATCAGGCTCACACTATCGGAAAGAAGCTTCTATAAACAAACAAGCATCCAAAAACAATACAAGTGTGAGACACAGGATCAGAGTGTGTACCGAGGTAAGCTTCGCTGCCCCTATTATACTGTCTCTGCCATTGCTCACTGGGTCACTTGAATAAAACAGACCCATTGTTAAAGCAGTAGACTGTCAATCCTTTGGATTTTTTAAAAACTCCTTGATACAGCTTGATACAACACTCATGGCTTTTGGCTAAACACAAGGAGAAAGCAGAAGCTTAGCGTAGTCTGTTGACAAAATGAATTGCATGCACTGGGAGTTCAGTACATGACTATTTGTTCAGGACTATCTGTATTATTTACCGGTTATGATGATGAAAACTATTTCAAATTAGCCCTGGAAAGAGAAAAAGAAAACCTTGTCTTTATAGTATGCTAGGCTATGCTCACACTATGCTATGCAATGCTATGCTAATTATATCCCGGCGGTATAGCTTTATATTTAAAGGAAAAGACATGTGATTGGTATAGGTCTTGTCAACTAACGCAGCAGTTCCCAACCTTTTTCAACTCAGCGCCCACTTAAGAATCAACATTTTTTTCGCAGCCCACATTCAACCATAAACGATACGGAGGCTAAATACTCGATTCTGATTGGTCAATTCAGAACATGTGACACGTTGTAAATCCAGTAGAACAGACCGCTGTCAAGGACTGTAATGAGCGTTGCTAAGGAGGATCGAGTAAGAGAAAGGAAAAGAGGTTAACATTTAAAAAAATCTTAATAACAAAATGTTTCCACACAAAACATAATGTTTTGCTAATTATTTGGCGGCAAATATTGAATTTACATTTACACCCTTTAATATTTTATTTGGGCTTTTAGATGAAGACCGCACACAGTTAATAAATATAACTATTCTTCTGGCTAAAATACAAATGTTTAAAAGTCAATCAAGGAGTTTGAAGAGTAGATTAAAAATACAATTTCTTTTGAAAAAAATTATTGCCACAAAAAATCAAAGGGTGGTTCAACACGCCATGAAATGGGAAATAGTGAGCTCTAACGAAGAGTGAGATTAAAGGAACAATAAATATGCTTGCCTATTTTTGTTTGTGAAATGATCCTACTGACTGTATCTTTATTTCTTCTGTTTTTGTCTGAGGTGGGAATGTCATCTCCTATATGTTATTGTTATGTCCATGTTTGTGTCTTTAGCCTGTACAAAATTTAACTCACAATCACATTTCCCCAAATTCTGGATTTTTCCTCCAAGCTTTCTTTCATCACCCACATCTCCAGGCATCATTAGCAAGGCATCACAGTCCTGTGGCAGTAGAGTGATGAAACTGCAAATGCAAATTACATCCAATCTGCAGTCACAAACCTGTACATGAGCCCCTTTGTAATGAAGCAGAAACAGACTTCTTTTAAGCTCTTCACATTTCTGCAAAATTATAATGTTCCATGCCATGAGTGTTATTTTATTTTCTCATTGAGAAAAATGCTATTTATACATTGTGCATTTGTATACTATGATAAAAGGTTTGAGGTCATTGTGCTGCAATGGTTGGGATTCTGGGCCACATTTGTCTTTTGTACAATATTGTAAAAAGCTGCCATACTCTGTTTTTTGTTCTGACATTTGCTGTCTTACAAATTAGTTTTTTTCCTAACTACATAGTCAGAACATCTTACTCTGTTCGCAGCTTGTTTTCACTTTTTACCCAACTGCAAACATGATTCAACATCATTCTCAGCTCAGTCATAATAGTGACAGTAGACAAACTGGTGTTGGCAACTGACCATCTTGAAAGAAGAACATCATGTGTAACCCTACTGATCTTCAACTTATACTCCTACTTGTGTACCTCTACTGATCTTCCATCTAAAACTGATGCACACAAATGCATGGGGGAAAAAAATCAACCAAAGAAAAAAAAACATGTTTAGATATTGTAATGAAGGTAACTTCGTTACAATGGACTGACGACTTTTGGCCCTTGTAATATTGCACATGTGGGTTTGCACTTTATGAAACAACTTCCCTTTGAACAGAAATAATGTCACTCAGGACTTTAGAGAACAGTTTGCACTTTATTAGCGTGATTTGCACAGTACAGTTTGGCATTGCATTTTTGCAAATATTTATATAATTTATACTATTTATTGATGTAGTATTTATTAAATGATTAAACCGTATTAATTGAAATGTCGTCTGGCAGATGCTGGTCGGGTCCTCGACTCCACCTGAAAAGAGATGGGAGTTAGCGGGAGCTCCGAAAGTGTTTATGCTTGTGTAAGGATGACAGCGGTTGAGAATAATCATTGTGTGCAAATATATGTTTGAGCGTGTGTATATATCATGACGTTAAAGTTGCATTCATTATATAAGTTAGTGATGGCAGTTTGACACTGGAGCTTCAAACGGAGCTTCAACCCTGGACTTCCTATTCCATAGAAGCAGTGATTCGAAGCTTGCTTCAAATCATGTGACATGTGACGTCCGAACCAGCAACTACTTCATTTCCTGAATGAATCAACTCACTGGTTCGCCGTCCAATCAGGTGATTCAATGCACTGCCTCGTCTCGATTCTGACAGGTGACAGGTTGAAACAGTTTCGAATTTGAATACTTCAACACTTCATAACCGCTCAAAACAATGCGCAATGTGTGGGTTGTTGTCGTAGTTTGCGTTGTTGCTGTTGAGTTGTTGTTGGCATTGCATTTGAATTGTATCATTATAGAGCCAGCCAGGAAGAAAGATCGGTCGTTCTGGCTCGGGAAACACTACGAAATGTGGAGAAGTTGTGAACAAAAAGACAATTATGAGTAATAGAAAAACAGTTCAGTATAGTTCAAGGAATAGATAGTCCAGTGGATAGAGCCAGCGGCCCGAATGCGGCGATGTCCTCTGCGCAGCCTGTTCACAGCCCGGAACGGATGAACTTTTAATCATTGCTTTTCAACTTTAATACTTTAATGACTGATAAAAGGCCCTCTCCGCCCAAAAACATTTCCAGCACTCTCTAGTCTCTTCTCAATAACCCAACACACACAATTATCAATCTTTAATTGCAAATAGAACATGATATGCAGTCTTAGTATGTGTGTGCATCGAATATTTTTCAAGGCAAAGATACGTTAAACCCGCTGCAGCCTTGCACTTCGCCAGGAAAGGTCGCTGTAACTGAAACTTCAAGAAATGAACCTATTTCCGACACAATTGTCCAAGTGGTTCGATGCTTAACTCAAAGCTTCATTTTGCCATCACTAATATAAGTGATCACTTACCCATGCTGTCTCGTCCTGTGTCCGTCCGCTCCAGTGTGTTCGGCCAAAAGGTCCTCGGGAAAACAAACACTGACAAAGAAGGTTCCGGGACGAACCAAGTGGCGAGATAGGCGCAGGGGTTTCTATTTTAGTTGGGAATGTATTTATATTTATTCTGGTCAGCTGTTTGTTTGGGTTAAATGAACAGATGGCTATAAACAACTGGTAATGCTATGAACATGATATTGCGAATATTCTTTATGTCATTCTTTATGACAATTATCTCATAAAGACATGTGGTTTTATGATCATTACCTGTGAATGGTTTCTCCCAATTACATCCTTGGAAGATCCTCTATAAATGAGCTAGTCTTCAGTCAGAGAGGAAGGGGTGAACACCTACAGAGAGTGGTGAACACCTACATGCTTGCTGTATGTTCTCTTGTGGCGTTTTCATAAATAAAGTCACCATGGTTTGAAACTCTACCTCCTCTTGTGGTAGATTCTTTCACTGGAAATCCAGCGGCTAAAGGGTTGCTCTTTCACAGATATCAAGACAACTGCTTACATTTCAGAGCCTCATCACAGATGTATTTGTTGTCATACAAGCTCTGTTTCGTATTTTACTTCTGTCATTTCAAAGAGCAAAACATTCAAAAATGGTATTTCTGGCTCTGCTGTTTCTTCAGGGTTTATTTGACAAATACAAGCACACAGACATACATTTTGAGAAAATAATATAATAGAGAACCGCAGTGACGCGTCGTAAAACCCGGAAGTAAGTTAGCATTTTTAGCACTTCCGGTTCCTTTCTCAAAAAGCAATGCATTTTTTCCATAGGGTTTTGGAAAATAGCTCGAAATAAGGTCTCTGGTTGACACAAATTTAAGAGATAAATCACGTTTTGTTCTACGACATTAAATACATCAGCAGTGACCCCACTGGGGATATTTGAAGAGTTTAAGTGTCTGAAAAACGATGGTTGTTACCGAGTGGCTGAATAGGACTACAGAAATTGTCGAGGCCGTTGTACATCATTACGCCGAACATGTAAACACTCCCGCTAAGTTTGTTTTCCCCTGTGTTCTGCTTGAAAGCAAGTACCTGCCTATCTTTAGTATCTGTATATCTATATCTGACCATTAGAATCTGCATTTTTGAAATTGTCGTTTTTAACACCGTAGTTTTACATATTATAGAATAATTAATTACCAGTGTTTTCCAATTTTACTCTGCAGTTCGTTTCGTTAGCTAACGTCAGCTAAAGCTAGCGCTACTAGTTAGCTACGCAATGGTTTGTTGCTTTGCTCCGGGTTGCAGCCACAGGTCTTCGCATGAAACGTGCTTGTTCTATCGTTTCCCAAAGGAGAGTCTGGATTCGTGCCATGAGGTAAGCTGACGTTACATTTTTGTCCATGTCACGGTGAAATGTAAATGATGGGTAGTGACTGTATCGCCGTTTTAGAGATGGCGCTGCTGAAAAGACCGCAACATAAGTAAAGATAATGAATACATCCTTTTAAAACCTGTGTGGCTTATATGATAAGTCTAATTAGTACAAGCAGCATAACGTTTCACCATGTAACTAAAGATTGTTAAAGATTGTAGTCAGGGAAATCAGTTTGACATATTGAACTAATAACAAATCACCTCTGGCTGGCAGAGAACTCTCTGCTCCATAGCTTCTCTTGGACGTAAAATCACATGTACATTTTACATTTATATTCAATTTAATATTCCATCCCTCACATACTTTTGTATATGTAATTACTTATATTTTGTTTTTCTTGTTATGCTGCTGCAACACAAACATTTCCCAAATTGGGATCAATACAGTAATATCTTATCTTAATTAATTAAGAAATATAACTATTATAATTAGTGTAGCAGCTGACACCTATTTTCAATATGGATTAATCTACCATTTATTTCTTTAGTTCAATTTTCATCTATAAAAATGTCAAAATAGTGAAAATGTTCACGAGACTTATCAAAGTGCAAGGTTATATCTTTAGATGTTTTGTTTTAGCCTATGTACTGTATGTCTTAATGCTCTTTATATGTGACGGGGTGACTTCCATGAAACTAATATTTTATATCTTCCCAACAGACGAGCTGACAGGAAACCTAACACTCTAACAACCACAACATTGCAAAGGCGAGTAAATGTAAATTAAAAACAATTCACAATTTTATTATTTCTTCTTCCTTGCAGTGAGGTGAAGCTGACCTTGCACTTGGTGCCAGTAAGGATGTTCCTCACGCAGGCTGAATGTTTCTCCTTCCTTACTGACACAGAAGCCCTTGATTTGCAATGCTTCACTAATTGTCATTTCCCTGGCTCCGTAGGGACACTTTACCTCCAGCACAGCGGAAGACCCTACCAGACCATCTGGAGATGCCCCCAACAATCCTGATAGGGAGAGCCACAAATCTGACTCGATGGACCTGCATCTGGGTGCACGTGTGAACTGCCCTGACGCCCTCACATCATCATAGTCCCCCACTGTACAGACAAAACACCATCAAGGGCCTGTTGTTGCCCTAGCACCCTGGCATAAAGGAAGCAGTCACACGCTTTGACCTCAGGACAGCTCCAAAGTTGCTGGCAGTCAACCTTCCTTTCCTGAACAAATGCCAGTTTGGGTTGGTTCGCTGACCAGTGGTAGCCACCTGAATTGCCCTCTGTTGCTCTTCAGACAATGCCATGCTTGCCACAATTGCCTCAGGTCCCTGATGCCCAACAGATTTGATAATTTCAGGAACAGTAAGAGTTTCCAAGCTGTAGTGTTCCTCTTCTGGCTCGGGGGAGAGAAGCCAAGAAATTCCTGAAAACCTGCTCCCGAGTCTGTCGCTCAACCAATCACGATCTTCGGAGGTGGGCTCTTTTGTCAGCGGGTTAAATTAGTTATTGGTTGGAGGAAATAGCTCCTCCACTGAATGCGTACGTTTAGCTGCCTTTGGCTTCTTGAAACTGAAAGCGTCGCGAACGTATAAGAATTGTTTCGAAATAAAATCGGTGACTTAAATTTTCACCTGGATAGTACGATATTAAACTTATATATCACATCCTGGTATGGATATATTCCGTAAAAATATAAAAATAAAAAGTTTTATGGTTTGTCTCAGTACGTAAAATCGGTAAGAGTAAAGCGAGTTAAATTTGTGACAGAAAGTACCCGACTAAGACACTTTGTCGTGGTAGATGTCCGGACCGTTATACTTTTTTTTTTTTTTTTTTTTTTTATTTTTTTTTTGGATTTTTTTTTTTTTTTTGTTTTTTTTTTTTTTATGGTCGCAGGGAGTCGCGAAAGCTATGCCGTTATGGCAACGACAGAGGAGGACTATAACACCTCAACCGGGTTATCGGCATCGTGGTGAGAGACACTGCAGGTATCTTGACAAGTTTAGACCTAGTCAGGGGACATAGTCTAGGCAACGTCGGGAAAAATTCTATAAACCCATACCCTCCTTTATTCTCTCCCAACACAAGAAGACTGTGAACCACTCAAGGGACTTGTCGCCCCTGTGTATAAGTACACTTTTTCCTGCATGTTTTCCCGTAAAACTTACTATCCAGGTGGAAATTTGATCTTCAGTACCACACAGTTAATGGCTCAGACTATAGCAAAATGTTTCTACCTGGTTCTTATAACATCTGGATGCTGGTAACGACGAGAAACATTTTGCTATACTCTGGACCATTAACTGTGTTTTGTGATTGTGACATCCATTAACCTCTTTCTCTTGTGTGAGTTCCAGTCCTGTGCATTGTCACGTCGGATATACTTCCGCACGAATGGCCTAACAACTAGTCCCGATCGTACTCCCTTTTCCAAATATCACAGACACTCATAAAGCGTATCGTTCTCATGGCAATTACATCTCAATTAAATAAGTGTAATCACTCGTAATTAATGGTAGTTGTTTAGGTAAAAATACACAGTGTACTATAGAAATAATGTTTATAATGTGTGGTCTTTTTGTGTCTTTATAGGTACCTTTATTTGTATGTCATCCGTATAATTTGTTTAATTTCCCATTAACTCTTCCGGTTAATGTTTACATTTATTTATTATTGTTAGGGTGGTGGTGTCCATAAGATGTCCTCTTCTCCCTTAGAGAGGTGTTTTACACTTACGGGGTGCACCTCTTACCTTTACGTCAGTACGCCGGACGTAAATCGGTAGAAAACGGTAGGTGTTAAAGTTCGACGTGACTGTGGGG